ATGACTCCATGCCAACACTGGCCTTGGTGCCAGATTTTTGATGCACATTTTTATTTAGTTTCCACAGCAACCAACCCTCAGTTTGCAAATGAGGAAACTAAGACTGAGAAAACCTAAGAAAGGCACTAAGGATCATGAAACCAGGAAACCATGTTGGGGCATCTTCAAAAGGGCTTTCAGTAAAGAAAGATAAGGAAAGGTCAAAGGCAAAATATTTCCTTTATTCCTGATGGAGGCCAAGTAGGGGGCTGGCTTAGTGTCTGAGTCAAGTAGGCCTGAACCCCTGAAATAGGCACATCCCCTCCCCGGTGGCCTGCATTGCCAACCCTGGGGCAGGCATACCCCTCATGGAAGTAGGCTTTGGGGAGCCAGAGGGACATGCATGTTCGCTGTCTGGGACCAAGCTCAAGCGCGAGAAGTAAACAGAGCCTTCCAGCTACCTTTCCCAATCTTCCAGCCAAATAAATCACTCCACATCTCCAGGGCCAAAGTGAATATAACGGTTACACAACTGAGTCGCCTTTCCAAAATGGAAAAGTCTAGAGTGGGGATGAAGTGTTCTCCATTAACAAGTAGCAAAGGCAATTTTTAAATCTAAGTCTGCCAACTTTTTCCATTAAGTCCTGGGAACACCCTACTTACTGTGGGAAGCTTCAGAGCCAATGTAGTTCATCTTTTTTAACCATCTCCATAATGTGATATCCTGTTTATCATTTCAAATGTCTATTTGTTCACTAACCAAATAGAGGAAAAGCTTTTCATTGGTACCATGGTGCCGTTCACAACATGTCAGAACTTTTTGGAATTCATATTGTTTATTAAAATAAATGAACAGGTCAAATTTGACATTTCAGTTTTAAGTAAATGCTAACCTGTAGAAATAAGAATTTGGAGACCGGGAGCTCAGAAACGAAGCTACAAATTAGTCTCTTTCTATACAAAATATAGGTTCAGTTAAATTACCTTGTTTTGTGTTTAGATGGATGCAGTGTAGGAAGAGCAAGCTGTTTGTCTGTGTTTAGCTTATTAAAATTGGTATGTCTGCTCATAAACCTAAGCAAACTCCTCTGGAACAAAATACTGGGGCAGATATTGGGACATAGAGGTCATCATTCTGACCCAATACATTTGTTCATTGTACATTTGTTCATTTGTATGATGACAAAGTTTCAATGAGTGGCAAAGACTTTGGAGAGTAAAAGAGTCATGCAGGACTGGCAGGGACTTGGGATCTAGAAGCTGGCACATTCCCACATACATAAATAGTACATGATGGCGGTGATACCTTCTTGCATGGTATAATTCATTGCTTCAATAATTAATGTTGCCAGTGCATGTTTCTAAGAGTACCAAAGGTAAATAATTTACTGTAATTACCAAAGAGGAGTGGTATTACTTATTTATTAAAACTTTTTTTTTTTAAATAAAGGGTCCGGTGTGAAAAAGTAACCTCAAGCCTCCAAATGTAGAAATTATAGTCTGCTGAAAAATTAAAGTGAGCATCACAACCCATTTTATATTAATATTTGCCCTATTCTGAAGGTTAGTTGTTTGGGGTCTCCAAAAGTCAATATAATTGGTAAGTAAAGCCAGACTAACATGAACACATAATCTCTGGTTAACCCATGTAGAATTTAGGATCAGCTCCTGTGTCTTCCCCTTCGTGGTTTAAGCCTTCATTTTGATGAGTACATCTTCCAGTAGTTTCCTGACAGAGTTCATGAGAAATATATTTGAAGGAGGGAGGGCTTATTTTTCTGAAAATATATCCGTTCTGTTTTCACACCTTTTTTTTTTTTTTTGGCTAGTTTTAGAATTTTGGATTGAAAATCATTTCCTCTCAGAACATTGTTCCTCTCAGAACAATCGAATCGCTCCATTGCCTTGAACTTCAGGTGTTACTGTTAAAAGTCTGATGGAAGTCTGCCATCTGTGATAATTTTTCCTCTAAATTTTTAGGCACTTTCTTTGTCTCCAAGTTCTGAAATTTCATGATGATGTGCTATAGTGATTTTATATTTATATTGCTGCTCACCAAGTGAGTCCTTTTACTCTGAACTTAGGTCTTCTGCTCTTGGGAAGTTTCTTTGATTTCTTCTCCTCTATTTCACTATTTTCTCTTCCTGGACCTATTTTTTTTTTTTTTTTTTTTTTTGAGGAAGGAAATGGATTTGAAATTTCTGACATGATCCTCTGCTTTCTTGTATGTTCTCCTATTTTCTATATTTGAAAACCTCCCCCTAACTTCTAGATATTTTTTCAACTTCAATGCTGTTATATTTGTTACTTTCTATGAGTTCTTTTTTTCTCTAGGTTTTTTGTTTGTTTTATTTCGAGTATTTTATTGCTTTATGAGCATCAAAAGACCTCATCTCTCTCCGGATATCAATGAAAAAAAATTTTTAAGATTTTATTTATTCATAGAGAGAGAGAGAGAGAGAGAGGCAGAGACATAGGCAAAGGGAGAAGCAGGCTCCATGCAGGGAGCCCGATGTGGGACTCGATCCCGGGTCTCCAGGATCACACCCCGGGCTGCAGGCGCCGCTAAACTGCTGCGCCACCAGGGCTGCCTCAATGAAAAATTTTAAGTTTTCTTCTCCCTAAAATTCCTCTGTTTCTTCCAATTTGCTTTTGTTCTGTTTGCTTATTTATTTTATTCCTCATATTAGATACTTCTTAACTATGCAGTGACTCATGACTGTTTGGGCACCACTAAGCTCGTTGGAAGCTTTCTCGCTGCATGGTGGAGAGTTGGCCATGCATGATTTCTACTCAAGTAAGAAGCTGGGGACATTTCACTAGGAAATCCCAATTCTCAGTGAATACTAAGTCACTGGGAAATCCCAGAGAAGAGTTCCCTTTTTCTGGGGCACCCGGATGGCTCAGTCGGCTAAGCATCTGCCTTTGGCTCAGATCATGATCTCAGTGTCCTGGGATTGAGTCCCTGCTCAGCAGGGAGCCTGCTTCTCCCTCTCTTTCTGTACTCTCTCTCTCCCTCTTTTGTTCTCTCTCAAATAAAATCTTAAGAAAAAAAAAAAAAAACTTCCCATTTTCTGCCTGGAGGCTCTGTCCCTGTCTGTCTGGGGACCAGTAAAGGAAGGTTGTTTTCTCCTCCAATGTAGTGTCTGCCTTACTGTCCTCTTCTGAGAGTCCACTTTCACATGGGAAAACCTCTCACCGTGTTCCACAGGTCTCATACAATTTTCTGTAGTTTCCACTATTTTTTTTAAATCCTTTCCTTTGTACATTTTTCCATTTACACTTCCAATTTTCTAACCCTGTTTTCTATTGTGTCTTGTCAAGAACTGACGTATTTAGAAGTGAACAAATGCCCATTTGATTCTTACATATATTCCAGTGCTCTGTTAAATTATCCATCTTTTAATTTCTTTCCTGTTTTTCCCTCTCTTTTCTTTAACATACTAATCATAGATAGCTGTTGTGAAGTTCTTATTTGCTCACTTCAAACTGTAGGATGACCTGGGAGTCTGTTTACAGTATCTGTTTTATTTTGTTTTTGGTTCATGTGCTCTGGCCATGCTTGGCAATTTCTCACTGCATGCTGGACACGATATATAAAAACTTGTAGACATGACACACCCGACGATGATGTAATTCTGCACAAAGGGTGCACCCTGCCTCTGCTAGGCAAATAGAGTGGTGGCAGATTATTTCAATCCAGTCAAGGTTTTGCTGAAATGAGGCAAAATTGTTTGCAGCCCTGGTAAACTCAGACTACCTCAAGTTTGCTCCTGGCCTCTGTGAGGACCCTTCTGTGAGAATCTTGTGTGATCCCCTCTCCCGACAAGTCCCAGACTCAATCTTTTCCTCATGAAACTGCCAAGAAGCAATACTATTCCTTTTAGCAAATTTCTGGTTAGTTTTCTAGCTTCCTGTTCTACACAGCCCCAGAATTCAGCAAATGTTCTTCTCAGAAATCTGTAGCATGCTGAAGGCCACCCAAATCTCCACTAAAATTGCCTTGGTTTTTCTGTTCCCCAGTTGCGCCCCCTGGATGTACAAAGCCCCAATTCTGTCTACACTGATAATTGATGAATGCACCCAAGTTAAAAATGGCAACAAAAAGTCCACTCAACTCTTCAAGACCCTCCCCTCCCCAAGAGTACAGCTCCTCTACCTTCCAGGGTCTCCCCAGTGCTCTGCTGCACTCAGAGCCCATAGCTATATGGTATGGTACCAACGGTAGCCTTCCACTAGCTACTCTGCTCCACTTGGAAACAAAAGTTATCAAGATTGATTCTTTTTTTCAGATATGGGAAGGAATTTTATAATTGTAAGATTAATTTGGAGTTAATTATATGTTCAAGTAGTTGAAATCATGGTTAGCAGTTCATTGGTGATTTGGAAAATACTGTTTTACCAATTTATGCAAATCTTTATATTGTTGACATGTTTCTTATCCAAAACTAATAGATTACATTAGTTAACATCTCCCCCGAGCTCATCACAGATGTAAAGTTTACAAAATTCTGATTTTTGCTTGAAAACTAAAATTTTATCAACTGGCATAGATAGCAACTAATGCCACCAGTTACTGTCCTTGAACTGACAGACTCACATTGTTCATTTTCAAGAAATAATGTCAAAACTCAAGTCAAAATAATCATAGTTTTGTGTCAGTTGTATACCGTGTTTCATGGAAAAGTCGCTTTCAGGTTACATCTAAATGCCTTTCTTGAAGCTAATGATCACACTTTTAGTAATCAGCAGATGTGATTTATGTCTACTTCCCATTTGAAACTGTGATATTCCTTTTGCCATGCCAGTTACTCAAGATGTTTTCTTAAAAGATTGAAATAATATATCGGTAAACTCTCATTGCTATTCTTGAAATTTCTATGTAGACCTATGAAAGAGTAAGTACAAATTGTTTATTTTGACCATCTTGACCTCTAGAGACATAGAAGTGTATTTTGTAGGTACAGAGAAGCCAGTGTCTTGTGTGGGTTGTTAATGCCATATATCATTTTATTTTGCAGCATCTAACATTCACAAGAGAATTTGATTCAGATTCTCTAAGACATTATAGCTGGGCTGCAGATACTTTGGACAATGTCAATCTTGTCTCAAGTCCTGTTCATTCTGGGTAAGTAATCTAAAAGTCACTTTTCTTTATCCTATTAAATGAACATTATGTTTATTATTTGTAATTATAAATTCATATTGACAGGCTTCATATGTATGAAATATTGGTCTTCTAAGACTTCGTTTCTGAGTATATGTGATGTGTATTTGTAAGTCATGAGTAAATTTTTTTTCTAAGCAAATTTGTATATCTGTTTTTTGTTGAAAAATGCACAGTGTTAGAAAGGAAAAGAAAGTATTGGTGCAAAAAATGTCTTGCCTGTTTTGGTACTACTTCCAGGTCTTTAATTTTCCTTTTCAATTAAAAAAAAATAAATCTAGTCATGTCCCTTAATTTTACTTATTCAAATGATGTTTTATTTCTGAATATCTCATTTTCCTAATAAAAAATATGTAGGTATTATTTCTGTTCATTTACCTTGCTGACTGCTTTTGTGCTTTGCTTTGAACCCAAAGTTTTCAGGTCAAGTTTGGTACCTTCTGCATTCCTGAAATAAAATTATGATTAAGTTTAGTAAATTAGTATTTTATTTATTTTCTATAATTATTTATTATTATATAATTTATTTAATAATTTTTAATAATATTTAAATTATTATATAATTTATTAAATTAGAAGAGAAATTAATTTTAAAAAGGAAAGAAAGGAATTCACTTTTAAAAAGTGACTGTACCAATGGGTGGACCCAGAGGTGCAGAGGTAAAAACCACATCAGACAGGCTCCTTTCTACTACCCCATCATGTGACAGAATTGGGGTAGGCTGGGGGAGGTGACCTGCTGCAATTGCTGAATTGATAATCAGCGTATATTTAGATGTAGGATTCTTCACCTGTAGGTAATTAAAACTTGGGATAATTGAATCCACACAAATGGAATGGAAATAATTGAGATGATGAAAACATCCAGGTGTTTTCACCTCTGAAACTGGCATTTAGGCCATAAATTAGTTGTGATCCAGGACAAGAGGGGATTAGTTTACAATTAAAGAAATTAACAATAATTAACATTTATGAATGCTGTATGTATTATATGAAGTATTTCCTGCTGCTTTTAATTAAAATAAATTGTAATAACTAATGTTTACCTTTTTATGTGCCTGGCATTGTCTTAAATGTCTTACATGTATTATCTTAATTATTTGAACCTTAAAATGACACTCTGAGTTAGGTTTTACTCATTATCCCCATTTTATAGATGAAAAGTCGGACTCATAGTAAGGCTGCAGGTTATTTAAAGTATTCTTACAGAATTATGGCTTGTAGCACAAAGAGTTGCAATAGCATTTAAGAAATAATTGCCATGAAAGGACTTTATAAATTATAAACTACCTGGTGGCCTTTGACTCATTAACATTGCATTTCTTTAACTCAATCAGAAAAACCTTTAATTATAGTAATATTAATGTTTTAATTGCTTAAAATATTTATACCATTGATACTAGATGTTTATGGATCTAACATTGCAAAAGCAAAAAAAAAAAAGAGAGAGAGAGAGAGAAAAGATTAGTTAAGAAGAAAAATGTAAATTACTTGGGAAACAGCAGCATATTCAAGAGTTCCCTGTATTAAGCTTGTTGGATTGTCACCATGTTACAAAGACCTAGAACCAGCATCTTGTATTCTCTATATTGGAAAGAAAAGCACCAGGATTTAATTTAGTCAACTCTTTTGCTTTGCTTCAAATGCTTGAACTTCAAATGAGAGGTTGAGAGAGCATAGGATAATAAAATCAGAAGTAAACTTTCTCATACACCAGAGAAAATGAAATATTTGAATGCACAAATTCCCTCTCCTTCCTCTTGAATTTATTGAAACAATAGACATGTCCAGGAGAGCAAAAGTAATGGCAGCTAGTGTGGGCTTATTTGAAAAGGATAATATAAACTTGGTATACACTTGGAAATGATTCACTAGTACCAGGTCTGTGGAGTAGCTTCTGTAGCCACTAAAGGAGAATATTTTTCCAGGTTGTCCCACAAATGCCAAATACCCTGATTTCATTTCCTGATGGTTTTTATTTTTCCTTTGCTTATCATTGACATTTTCTGTTGCTTGCTTCTAATTATCTTACATTAATTTTTCCCATTTGCTTTCTAAATTATTTTGCAGCTATTCTTCTCCACTTCCTCAGTATGATTCAAGGTGATAATTGTGTCCTTTATGTGAACCACCCTTTTTTGTATTTTTAATTTATGTGAAGTTTTCCCACAGTTAGATGTGTCAGTGTCTGTAGTGTATCAGCATTCGTCATCCCGCTGTTCTTAAAACTAGAAACGTTCATGTGTTAGTTTTAAGATCATTCGTAGAATTCCTGATTTAGTTTAAATATTAATAAGGTACAACAAATATGATTAAACATCACCTTTTGATTTGTTTTTAATAAGTTATATTGCATGAAATTTTATTTTGCACAGAATATGTAAGGAATGAGTTTGGAAAACAAATCACTGTATTTCGTGATGTGATTAATGATAGGACCCTTGTCCTGCTTAACCTATATTCTCACCTTTCCTCAGGCTACTGGCTCTATGAAGTTGAAAACCTTAGAACAATAAATGATTGCTAATGAGTACCAACTAGGCATTGGAGGGTGCTATGTGGAACCCAGAGAAAAACTTCTCCAAATTTATAGTTAAAATCAGAATTCTAAGGCCTATTTTTTCCATTTGGTTCTGATACTCTTTGTAGTTTGGATATTTTTATATTGACACAGATAACCTTCTTATACTACCTGCCTTCAGACTGCTCAACTACAAGTGTTTTATATATGTGTGTGTATACACACACACACACACACATATATATACATCTTTTTCATATAGATATATTTTTAGTATTAGTAACCTTGTCTGACCTATGCAATTCTGAAGCACACTTAACAGAATAGTCTTTGTTCAGTGGATCACTCAGTAAACATTTATTATGTACTTACTGTGTTTGGGAACTATGCTCAGCTTTGCAGGTCAAGCAGTGAATAAGACAGACCTGATCTGAATTACCATCTATATTGTTGAGATCAGCTGTTTGTTGCTAGGACAAACATTGCCCTCCCACTGTAAACACTCCAGTGTTTATTTGTACTAATACAGCCAAACTTTCAAACCTAGAGTTTATCTTTAGTTTTTGAAGTTTTATTTAAGTGATCTCTGCACCCAGTGTGGGGCTCGAACTCACGAGCCCGAGATCAAGCGTCAGATGCTCCACCAACTGAGCCAGCCAGGCACCACTCAGAGTTTATCTTGAATCATTTTAATCCATTCTGTTGCTATTATATCCAATCATGAGTTGATTTTCACCACTGAATGCTGGAAAGGATCAGGTTTTGTCTTTAGCTTCTTCTATAAAAGTTGCCCTACTACCTTCATTACTGAGTAAAGGTAGTTGTTAAATACGTCTAAGACAATGTGGGCTCACCACAGCAGCTTCAAGTGAGCCTTGTTATCATTTAGCACTGGAAGTGGAAGCAGTTCATGTGAACACTTGCACAAGTGAACAAGTATCTTTGTCTTTGACTTGGGAGGTGTGTGTTTTGTTTTGTTTTGTTTTGTTTTTAATGAGATCAGTCTCTTCCCCCTCTTACTTTGACTACTACACTGGTTCCAGCCTCTCAGAGTATGTCTAATATTACAAAAATGCATAATCCAGAGGAAAATAGCTAAATCTAAAATAACCAGAAGGGTATGGAGTTGATTACACCTCACTGATGACCAGAGTTGGTTCTGAACATCTGATTGGCTGAAAAATGAGCCCTGTGCTATTGCCTTTCTCTATGGGGAGGCAGGTCAGTTTGCTTTGTTGAAGAGGTTACTCTTCTGAGGTCGAGAAGCATTACTCTTGAGGAAAGGGTCTCCAGCTACGACCTCCATGCACGGTCCTAAAACCTGTTGCAGGATATTAGAACTGTGTTTAGATGAACTATATTTAGTAGAGGATTTTGATGGATGGGATTATACCCCTGCCCAATACTATAGATATTCAGATAATTTTCTAATTATCAACATTTGCTGCTGTTTCAGTAATAAGCACATTTTCACATGTGAACATTGGGATGCAAAAGGATGTGTGTTCTCCTGTTTGACTTGCACTCTTCCATATGTCGGACTTACTAGCTTATGTTCACCAGAGTGCTTTATAATACCAAAGATTCGAGGAGGACTCTCCACAAGCATGTGATAGGAATCAGGAATTGCAATGACAAAGATAAGATACTAGTCATTTCTTTACATTTTCATATCTACATGAAGAAAAATAATTTTTCTTCATTAGCTTTAATAGAAAGGCCAATGGTGGAATTATAGTATATAATTTAGAGACATTTTCTAAAGGTCTAAATATTCCGTTTTGTATGGCTATACAGATACTCCAGTGTCAGTTATTTTAAACAGTTTTAAAGCCAAATTTATACTGAAAAGATTAAATTCCTTTCCATCAAAATTGCCTTAGCAAAACTAGCCATCTGCTTTTATCCTTAAATTCTGCTTTGTGGTAGTAAAAATTAGAGTGTTTGGTATGATTAAGCATATTTTTATTTTATGAGTTGTACATGTTAAGACATACCGTGGAGTTTCATCTGACTTGTCAGAGATAGAGATTCCATAGTCAGCATATGGCTAAAACCGCTTATAGTTAAAAATGATGCTTGAAAAAAAAAATGATGCTGAATATAGCTGAAGCCATCCACTGACTCCACATAGGATGGTCTGGGTTTGGGTTTTACGTGCATGACAGTCCTGTGAGAGCCAGTTTTTATTCCAGCTTTGAAACATTCCTCAATTTGAGCATCTGACAAAGGGTTTGGCATCTGTTACGGGGCCACATCCCACCAAAAGCAGTTTGTCATGTCCCACTTATTCCCTGGTTCACAGGCTGAAGGGCATGTTTGATGTGACTCCACTGTATCCACTTCCAGTTTATTTTTAAAGAGAGGAAATGATAGCTACATTGTCTGTGGTTTTAAACCTTAACATTGACTCTCAAGACTTACTGTGAAGACAGTTTCTTTCTGTCCTTGATTTGGGTTCTGATATTCTCCCTGCAGGTTTCTGGTTAGCTTCATGGTGGATGCAAGAGGCGGCTCCATGAGAGGGAGCCGTCACCACGGGATGAGAATCATCATCCCGCCACGCAAGTGTACGGCCCCCACCCGAATCACCTGCCGACTGGTAAAGAGACATAAACTGGCCAACCCACCCCCCATGGTGGAAGGAGAGGGATTAGCCAGTAGGCTGGTAGAAATGGGTCCTGCAGGGGCACAATTTTTAGGGTAAGTGATTTTGTCAATCTTTATCTTGGCCCTTGTGTGATATATTTGGTTTTCTTCACCCTCTTTTAACTCAAGGAGTTAACCACTAAAACTACTCAGTTGGACCATTTTGATCGAGTACACCTTTCGTGTAGTGTCAGAGGTCACAGAGCTGTGTGACTCTATGGAAAGCTAATAGGCTGATACTTCCTTAACTGAGTTTGCTGGTCAAAGCTTTTACTAACCGAGAAGCATGCTCTCTGCTCAGTGAGTGCACGGAACCCCGCAGCCCCCAGAGAAGTCAAGGCACCTTTCTTAGGGGAAAACGTAGATGCCGAAACTCTCTCACCAACATTGAATCAATGGCTACTCTGGGTACACGTCTTCTTTAAAGATGATTTTCAGGGTGGTAATCCATTGTGATGCGGTGTTTTGCAAAAAGGAAAAATGAATTCGTTTTCTGAGGTGGCACTTGGGTGCTGATCAGGCTGGCTCTGTCATGACGGACAGTTTGTTCACAGTTTCCCCTTCTCGTTTCTCTTCCTGCTGCATGGATGTTATTCAGTAAACTGCACCTTCCTACCAATCCTCCCCCTGTAAATGAGGGTGAGAGCTTGGTTAGCCGAATCCTGCAGCTTGGGCCGCAAGGAACAAAATTTATTGGGTAGGACCTTTATAGACAAGATACAGAATGTCTACAACTCTCTTTCCATTTGCAGTTTTTTTTTTTCTGTCACACCCATGGTCTTCTCGTCTTAATTTTATTTTTATCTTTTCAGTTTTTAATGCTTTCAGTTGATACGTGTCACTGAAAGAAACAGAAACCATAGTGGCTTGACTTACTGTAGCCCTGCTCCCTCTCTCGTGCTTCCCGAGCATGTGGAATCCACCGCAAGCATTCTGCTTCATGACCTTGTGCTTTTGTAAACCTTCCTTTAATTTGAAATGTTTCAACTGCTTCTGATAGTTGTTAAGACAGACTGACGACCTCATTGTAACCCAGTATAAGAGAAGGTATTTGCAGGCTTTGAAGTGACATTTGCTATAAATGAATAGGTACATGTGTGAATATAGATATGTGTATATTTTATATATATATATATGTATATATATATATATATAAAACGTGTCTGGATTTCCAGTTTTTTTAAAAGTACGTACTTCCACATACTGAGTAATCTTTATGGGCTTTGAGAAAGAAAAGTCCTCAATAAGTCAACTGATTTTGATAAATGCTGGGAATAGAAGATACTTAAAGAAAGCCAAATAGGCAGCAGAGAGAATATTCTACTAAATTAATTAAAGTGTCTTGTTTTGTTTCGTTTAAGCTGAAATGTGTTGGTATTTGTTGTTTGTTTGCTCGTCTGTCTGATTGGTGGATTTGCCTTGGCAGTCTGCATGAAGAGACCTGTTATGAAAAGTTCTGCTTGGCTTTCACCTTGGTCAAAGGCCCTGGTTCATACCTTCTCTCCAGTATTGTTGAATGTCCTACACAAAGCCACATTCCTTAAATATTTACAGAGACAGTATCTGATACATTAACCTGCAAAGATTGTATCTAGTTCTCAAAAAAAATTTTTATAATGTCAAATCAGATGTGATTAAAACCTATAGTAAATATCATAACTCTTAAAATGATTAACACTCTTAGGAATAGTTGATTTTGATTTTGTTTCTACCTATCAAAAAATACATTATAAAAAATTTTAAAAGCCTTCATTTGAATTAATTATAATCATTTTGCCAAAAGGAAAATTCCCACATCTATCATCCCATTTTAAGTCAATGATTTTGTAATAAATGATACGTTCATATCTACTTACATTATTGGATCATTACAATGACTCTCCCTTTTTATGCTCTTACCTATTGAAGCCTTTGTCTTCTATTATCACATGTGCATAAACATATAGGTTAAGAGGTGAGGTTACATACAACCTCTGTAGGAGAATAATGATACTGTCTACTTAAATGTCATAAAATAAAGCTGCACAATCCAACTACATAAACTGTGTGTGATTGTGGTCTGCTTACTTCCATCCATCTTTTTTAGCATTTATCCTATTTTAAAAGTTAATAAAATTATTCCTGTGCTCGATTGGCTATCCTCAATTTGCAGCCATCCTTTTACATTCTTTTGCAAAAGGACACTGTCAAAAATTAATATATCTCTATATTACAATTTCAGACCAACAAGTGCTTTTTCAGATAGTTTAAATATTCCTGTGCAGGTTATACTAGAGTTAGGAAATTAAGCTGCCCACTACCATTTCACAAATTAGAAATGAGTGAAACCGCCTTAACTATACAGGCCATCAAAGTCATAGAAAGTCACTGTTGGAGGGAGTGAATTAGGTCGATCGTTTGCTTGCTTAGGGGTCAAACACTTGTCATCTTTCAAAGTAGGAAATATACAGAATTTCTTTTTCAAAGAACTGACTGTGTCCTTTTAAATCATTAGCTTTTTGTATAATATAATAGAGCTATCATGTTTTTAAAAATGGACCAACTTGCTTATGGTCTATTTTAATAGCTTTCAATTCCTTGATTCAAAAATCCTGTTTAGATATGCTGAATATTTTCCCTTTACTAAATCAAATGCCTAACATATGGTAGGCCCTTATGAATTGTTCGCGAATGAATGAATGATGGCATGTTTTCAGGCTTCTAACATATTATTTAATTAGCAAATGATTCTGCAGCTTTGAAGTCATTCCCAACCTTAGTGGCACCTCTGATTTTCAAATGAATACTGTTAATGAAACTGTCTTGAAAGTATGATACTATAAATATATTTCATTTGATAGCAAAATAATGTGGATTTTTTTTCCAGCCCTGTCATAGTGGAAATCCCTCACTTTGGGTCTATGCGAGGAAAAGAAAGAGAACTCATTGTTCTTCGAAGTGAAAATGGTGAGACGTGGAAGGAGCATCAGTTTGACAGTAAAAATGAAGATTTAACTGAACTACTTAATGGCATGGATGAAGGTAATTATGACGACTCCTTGTCTCTATAAATGTCTGCAGGTAGGAATCAAAGGACTGGCTGTGGTGAAGTTAATGTTGCTTGAACACTACTTATTTGTATCTTGAGCTGGGAGTCCAGCTCCCTGGCATTTATTGCTGCTTTCTGAATCTCAGGCATGAAGTTCCTTTTAATCCCACAGCTTTTTTTCTTACAATACTAATGGACAAATATTACGATGATGATTCTTCCGGCCTTTAGTCAAATGTATTCAGCTTTCCCAAACCCAATAGAGTTTTCTAAGTGCAAGATGTGTAAGGAGGAGGTGAATAATAATGGAAGGTATGCAAAGCATGCAGAATATTTTTAAGGAAATACGTTCACATTTTATTTTTGGAATAATTCTTTCTGGATCCTTTCCTGTGTCTCTGTTTTCTCCCCGACTATTCCAACATTCTTCATGAATTTTTAATTTCTCTTGGGCAATGATCACGGAAAAGAATAAATTGCAGGCTAGTTACTGGAGTCTATGTCATATTCTGTGACCTACTAAGGCCACATGGCTGAGCATGTCACTTATCATACACTCTTCCCTTAACTAACCCTCAGAATGAAGCAGGGTTTCTTACTAGACTTTGAGAATAGACTTGTTTTGAGAGTAGGTACTTGGTGCAGAGTTTTCCTTTGAAAAGATAAAAAACATAGACCAAGTTCGCCACAGAATGAATCTTTAGACTGACTTCCTCATCACTACAAATCCAGCACTTGTTCTAAAAAAGAGCTTTATTAGAGATATAATTCACATATCATAAAATTCACTGTCCTGGCATTTAATTCACTGGCTTTTGGAATGCATCCAACATAGTCTCCTGGTTTCAAAGTGAGCACAAAGGAGCTAGACCGACTTGGGTGTTTGAGGGATGAGCATGGGCAAGTTCTTTGGTCCCTGTGAGACTCTTACTTCTGTAAAACGGAGATCACCTTCCTTACTTCATAGGGTTGTTATTGGGAAAAATAGTTCTGTGAAGCATTTGTGAAATACAGCCTTTGTCACACAGTAAGCCCTCAATAAATATCAGCTGTTGTCACTATTTTTTCTAGAGAAAAAATTGTCTGACAAAGTTTCTGTATAAGACACAATAGCAGCCAGCCAAGAATTTAAAGATGTTCTTACAGCAGGGTGAAAGGACTAATAATTGTTGAGTTTCTACCATTCATGAGGCAGTGATAAACTCCTTTCTGTATGAAAATTTAAAACAAACGTATAGTCCTGTGAAGTAGATTGTTTTAACCACACTTTAGAGAACTGAAGTCCAGACCAGTCAACTTACTTACCTAAGGTTACCGAAACTAAGTAGCAGCACTAGGGTTGAAATATTGTTGTATCTTGCTTCCAAAGACTTAACTGTATTCCGCTTACTTTAGAAATGTGTGTCTGATGGAGAAGAAAATAATTTTTTTAAAGATTTTATTATTCATGAGAGACACAGAGAAAGAGACAGAGATATAGGCAGAGGAAGAAGCAGGCTCCATGCAGGGAGCCCAATGTGGGACTCGATTCCAAGACCCTGGGATCACGCCCTGAGCCAAATGCAGATGCTTAATTAAACAGAGTCACCCAGGCGTCCCAAGAAAATTAATTTAAAGAGGTAAATTCCTACAAACCTCTAGAGGTAGGTAAATTCCCACAAACTCTTTTTAAGGTCCAGAAGAATAGTCATCTTAAATGAGTATCATTAAATGTATCATATGTGATACTGATATTTATATCTATAATTTCAAATGATTTCTAATAAGAACATGCAATGGTAATTAAGATTTCTAATTTTTATTACCTTATTTTAAAACATTAAAAGTAGTCATACTCTTAAAAGGAAATTGATAAGAAAACACAATTAAAGTTTTAAAAAGAGGGATACCTGAGTGGCTCAGTGGTTGAGTGTCTGCCTTCAGCTCAGGGCGTAATCCTGGGGTCCTGGGGTCGAGTCCTGCATCGGGCTTCCAACGTGAGGAGCCTTCTCCTCCCTCTGCCTATGTCTCTGCCTCTCTCTGTGTGTCTCTCATGAATAAATAAATAGAAGCTTAAAAAAAAAGTTTTAAAAAGAATACATACTAAGAGAATGAATTGAATTAGCATTTTGAAAATAATAAAGTACTGTAGGTGATTCAGGATTTAAAAGTGGAGAGAAGAAGAGAAATGGGTTTTCCAGAGAGGTTATTTTGATTTAAGAAAAAGTATATAAATATTTTCATGTTTCTAGTGTTTCTTTTTTTAAGATTTTATTTATTTGTTTGTTTGTTTGTTTGTTTGAGAGAGAGAGAGAGAGAGAGAGAGAGAGAGAGAACATGAGCAGGGAGAGTGTCGGAGAAGAAGAGAGAGAATCTCAAGCAGATGCCCCCCTGAGTGTGCAGCCTGATGCGGGGCTCTATTCCATGACCCTGAGATCATGACCTGAGCTAAAATCAAGAGTCAGTTGCTCAGGACACCTGGGTAGCCCAGCGGTTGGGTGGCTGCCTTCAATTCAGGTTGTGATCCCGGGATCCAGGATCGAGTCCCGCATCAGACTCCCGCGAGAGTCCTGCTTCTCCCTCTGCCTGTGTCTCTGCCTTTCTTTCTCTGTCTCTGTCTCTGTCTCTCATGAATAAATAAATCTTTAAAAAAAAAAAAGAGTCAGTTGCTCAATCAGCTGAGCCACCCAGGTGCCCCCATGTTTCTAGTGTTTCTTAAATGCCAATATAGTAGATTACTAGTTACTGAAATGTAGCCTCTATTACACACAGATTTTCTTTTTTTCTTTTTATTTTATTTTATTTTATTTAGGGCATCTGGGTGGCTTAGTGATTGAGCATCTGCCTTTGGCTTAGGGCATGATCCTGGAGTCCCGGGATCGAGTCCCACATCAGGCTCCCTGCATGGAGCCTGCTTCTCCCTCTGCCTATGTCTCTGCCTCCTTTTCTGTGTCTCTCATGAATGAATAAATAAAATCTCTAAAAAAAATAAAGATTTTATATAATTATTTGAGAGAAAGAAAGCAAGAGAGAGAGAGAGATCACGAGCAGAGGGGGAAGGGCATAGGGAGAAAGAGAAGCAAATTCCCTGCCAAGCAGGGAGCCCGATGTGGGACTCAATCCCAGAACCCTGGGATCATGATCTAAGCTGAAGGCAGATGCTTACACGACTGAGACACACGGGCACCCTCTTTTTTTTCTTTTTAATCAAACTACCTTGGTACTGTAACCTCCTGAGGGCTGAGTACATGTCTTATTTATTTTTTTAAGATTTTTTTTGCTTATTTATTCATGAGACACAGAGACAGGCAGAGACATAGGCAAAGGGAGAAGCAGGCTTCCTGCAGGGAGCCCAATATGGGACTCAATCCCAGAACCCCGAGATCATGCCCTGAGCCAAAGGCAGACACTCAACTGCCGAGCCTTCCAAGCATCCCCAGAGTATATGCCTTAATCACCTTTGAACTCCCAGTGTCAGATGCAACATTGATTTTGGCTTCCCCTCATTGCTGATGAGGGGCAGAAGGAGGAACCTCTTTAAAATTATGTAGCTATGGGCAGCCCGGGTGGCTCAGTAGTTTAGCGCTGCCTTCAGCCCAGGGCCTGATCCTGGAGACCCGGGATCAAGTCCCACATGGGGCTCCCTGTACCTTCTCCCTCTGCCTGTGTCTCTGCCTCTCTCTCTCTCTCTCTCTCTCTCTCTCTCTCTCGAATAAGTAAAATATTTAACAATAAATAAGTAAATAAATTTAAGAAAATTATGTAGCTATCTGGAGGAAGAGTTCTCATCAGTCTATTTCCTTTACTCCAAACGTCATTAATGTTAATCTCCAGGAGAAAAATTAAAGAGGAGCATTTACTTTGAGGAAAACTCTGAGAAAGTAACAATAATCCAGAATAACAAGAATACCAAATATTCTAAAATAGTGCTGTCCAACAGAACTTTATACAATGATGGGAATACTCTGTGTATGCTGTCCAACAGTAATCACTAGTCCCCTGTGATTCTGGAGTACTTGAAATATGACTAGTGCAGCTGATTTTTAATTTTGTTTAAGTAATTTCAGATAGCCACATATGGCCACTTGCTACCTCATCGGACATTTTATAGTTCTAGCAAAAACATTGAGTATTCTAATATGTTCTCCTTTGATTTTGAGTATATATTTTAGTATGTCCCAACAGTCACAGGTGGAATTTTTTTTTATTTTTAAGGTTTATTATACAGTGGACTTCCGTGATTTCATGCAGACTTGTGTTTCTTTTTAAAAGCAAAACAACACAATTTCCAATAGGAATTAGTCCTATCCTTGCTTACACAAATGATGCCCCCAGTGCTGCCATACTCAGGACATCTGTCAGATGTTTTAAGAAATGATGATGTAGCCCTCTGTCCTGGATTCTATATGCTATCTTGGTAATAGTAGAAAGAGTTTCTTTGCTACATTTTTATTTTTTTAAAGATTTTATTTATTTGAGAGGGAGAGAGCACGAGTGGTGGGAGGGGGAAAGGGAGAGGGAGAAGCAGACTCCCCACTAAGGAGGGTGCCTGACACAAGGCTTGATCCCAGAATCCAGGGATCATGACCTAAGCCAAAGGCAGATGCTTAACCCACTGAACCACCCAGGTGCCCCATAAATGTCTCCTTTTTAAACCTCTTCCATAAATGAATCAGTTGTAACTACTGTGTATGCTCTTTGTATAACCAGTCCTACTGTACTTTATTCTCTGAAAATCTTAAAACCCAAATATTTAAAAATCACCCTAGCTAGTATTTTGGTAACTGATTTTTACTAAACAACACAATCATAAAGATTAGATTATGGTTCTGTAGTATTTCAAAACTTGTAAAGCCTTTCCAAATGCAGTTTAGTAGTTAGAATTTAATAGACTATTTTAATAAAATAAATTCATAAAAAGACAAGTTTAAGGAGGAGGATAATTTTCCCAGTGTAACGTGGGGGTTAGAATCAGGATCTGTAGACACTGCATAGACTGGAATTCCCAACGTGC